TGAGATGTATTATAGAGAGATTGCTCTTCACACGCTGAGAGAATACTAACAATTGTATACAACTGGGGCTTGAATAGTGGGGGATGGGAAGGAAAAGGAGAACAATCCTGCACCTTGGAGAATCATGCTGGCTCTCCTCATGGAAAGTTGGAAAGCTCCAGTTAGCAAAAGTCTATTCTGAAATGTCCAGCATTTTCCCTGGGGCACCAGCATGTCTGTCAATGCTTCCTTTGCTTCATGCTGAGCATCTTCCCTCTTCCCCAATGTTTTACATACTTAGAACAATATTTTTGTTATTATTTTTTAAATGGTAAGCTGGCATGCTGCAAAGCAAAATGTTAGCCTCCAGCATGATCTTTATTTCCAGGAACATTCCTTAGGAATTGAAATGGTCAATGGTTGCATGCCAATCCTTTGGGAGTATGGCCATTTGCTGAGAAACAGGGCAAATATAAGCCAATAGAGTACAGAGTACTTTGAGAGAAGTAAGGCTGGAGTGGTGACAGGTAGCAAGCTGCAGTGTTTTATAAATGGTGAGGTCATAGAATCCTAGGGTTGGAAGGCACCACAGGAAGGGGCCACAGAGGGGTCATCTAGTTCAATTTCCTCTCAGGATAGGAGTCCACTGGGTAGTCATTTTGTGAGAGAGACTACAACATGTTCTATTCCTAATTTTGAACGTCTCTATCGGCCCCAAAGGTTTGGAAACCCTGATCTAATGGACATTAGTCACTGAAGGCATGAACCAGGGACGAAAAGGTCCTGTTCCCCAGCTTCTCTGCAGCCCTTGCCTCAGAAAAGGGGATTTTTTTTTCAGGATTGAAAGTCAGGCAAATGGGAATGATAGTGCGGCTTTACTATTGGGCATGATGCTCTTGGGGGCAGAGGGAGGGCCCTTTTGGCCTCAAGAAATTGCTGTTGGGAATGAGAGGAATGCCCCTGCAAGATTTCTGTTAGTAGGGGGGGAGGGAACATTTGTCTCAGTCCAGGACACTTCCCTTTCCTCTAGCTCCACATTTTTCTTACGAGAATTTTCACCTCCAAATTACACTGGGTTCCTTTTTTATGGAGTAAGAATTCAACTTCCAAGGATTGCTTTGAATAGAGATGTATGAGTGCCCCTGAAAAAAATCACAAACACTGAGATTTTTTGCTTTGTTTTGTTTGAGGAGATACAACAGAATCTTGGGTGTCATTAATGCAAGTAGCTAATGACTGCATGGTTATCAAATAGAGACGTCAAGTTTAGGTATTTCTGCTGTTTTATTTTCTTCAGGCTTTAGCTCGAGGAATTGATTCATTGTCACTTAGCTCGTTTGAAATGTCACCTTTGGCTTTGAAGAACTCCAAGGAACAAAGGAGTCGAAGAAGAAAAAAGAAATCTTCAGGGACGGAAGATGCGACAGAAGATCAAGAGGGCGTAAAGTCTGAATCAGACGATGGCCAACGAAGACCGGTTAGTCTTTACACTAAAATGTCAATCAAAGGAATGTCATAACTGTTTTGTGTAGAGCTTAGCATATTCCTTTTCACAGAGATGGATGCATTATCTAGGTTAACATACTTAGAAACAGATATTCTAGGCCTTGTCTGGAATTATTTCAAGTCTCTTAATTTAACTACTACTACTACTACTACTTAATTTTTTTACTTGTACAAGGCATTATGCCTTGAACAGTTACTGAAAATCAGAGAGAACAGTCCTGGGACCAAGAGACTTCATATAAGATGACTTTTGATCCTTGTATCAACCCCTTCCCTGCCCCTCTCCTCCATCACAGATGATTGCTCTTTCAATCCAGAACTCTGTACAACACACTGAAGTTCAGCACTGATGAATTCAGTTACCTAAGGATGCTAAGGGTGTGCAACATTTGGATTTGTCTCCAAAGGGTGTTTTGGAGAGTTCAGGAGTATGAACACAGCTCTTTCCTGCAACATTTTAAAGCAGGTGTATCCTTTCCTGGGTTTGCACAACAGCTGTAGAGAAAAGAAATAGCTGTTTTAAGGAGTCACAGACAGGTGCTACATTTGCATTCCTATATGCGCTGAACTAGTTTTTGGAGATTGATTCTGAAGTGCTGTAACCTAAAAAAAAATATTACAATATTTTTTTACAAATATTATTTTTTTGAGAGATTTTATTCTTCTTGTTTAATTGAGTGCGGTGCCTTGTTAATTACAAGATTTTTTTTTAGATTTTTTATCCCGCCTTTATTATTTTTTAAATAAATAACTCAAGGCAGCGAACATGCCTGATACTCCTTCCTCCTTCTATGTTCCCCACAACAACAACCCTGTGAGATGAGTTGGGCTGAGAGAGAGGGACTGGCCCAAAGT